ACTGTTCACATTGAAATGCAGTTAGTTTGCAATGACCAACTGACAGCATCATCCAATGAGTAAGACCATGCAATCATGCACAATGAATGGTTGTATATGGTCTGTTTTAGCACTTTCGGTGATTTATTTTCATATAATATACTGTAGCAAAACCAGCTGCATTTGATGTAAGATGGGCAGCCATGGCTGATACAAGCTCCAGCTGGTTTTAGACAAACTGGCTTCCAGCAGAAACCAGTTAAAGCTGGTGCAGGATGGGATGATACACCTACTCTGGGACACCCGGACACACTCAGTTGGGCTCAACCTTCCATGACCAGTGTTCCCTGCACTGAAAGATACCTGTTCCCTGTCTCTTCCCAGATTTACTGGTGCACCTTACCCCCTGACACCCAGTTTCCAACTATAAACACTAATATACTATGCTATAAAGGCTACAGAGAATTCAAACTAATCCAGGAATATAATACACTACAGAAACTGATGTTAAATTCTCTGTGGATCGATCTTTCTTTACTAAATCTTCCCATACCAAATTCTTGCAAGTCTTTGTTGTCTCTTTCTAACTTTTGAAGCTTTAAGCACTTGAGACTGCCAGGTGGCTGCTGATGTTAAAGACTGTGTCTCTAAACTCACTACAATTCAGGATACCACTAACGCCTCCTCTCTTCTCCAGAGCCTTTCACTAAGCCTCTGCTTCCTCCATCACATACCCTTTCCCCTCACAGACGGGAGCCTTTCTCCGAGAGCCTGTTGGTCTCTGAACCCTAGGTGTTACACCCAAACACATAGCACAGATGTTCAACAGGAATGTCTGGTGAGTTGGACATCCATAAAATAACTGTCACATTCTTATTTCACAAGAAAGCTGTTGTTATACAAGCAGTATGAGGACATGTATTGTCCTTCTGGGATGTTGTTATGTCAATATTGGCATACATTCATTAGAGAAAGTGAGAACCAAGAACATAATTCTTGTATTTTTTTGCAGTATGTTTACCATCAATCACTACAAATAGTGTTCTGAACCACCTCATAACCACCTCAAACCAGGTTTCTCACTCCTGGTCAAGATGGACTCTGGTGTCTGCTTTTTTCATTCTAACTGGGACCTTAATAAGTGATGCCAGCTGGTGCTGATCTGCTGGCTCATTTAGACTTTTTTCTGAACGTTAGCCTTGGTATACAAAGACTCTAGTTAAAGTACATAATTTCCAGCAACTTCAACATACAGGACATTATACAGTTTCTCCTCAGCTTCCTAATTATTTTTGACTAAAAAGCTTTTTATATACTGATGGAAAAAAGAAATGCAACATTTTCTGGAATGAGAATACTATAGTTATAGCTTATGTACTTTCACAAAGAATTGTCAATTTGTTTTAAGCCCTCTGACCAGCAATACAGCTTGTGGAGTGAGGTATTGCAACTTGCCAATCACACAAAAGCTTGTTAGGTGCACTTTTACTCAATGAGATCCAGGTGGAACAATGCCTGATCAGCTCACTTTTAAAAAGGACTTAATTCAAAGGCATAGAGTTTAGTCAGATTTTTGTGCCTCGAATGTCACCAGAAGCAAGGTAGAAGGCCATTGGCATGCTGCGGGCATGTCATGTGCCAGCATTGCCAAACACTATGGAGTAAACCACTCCACTGTGTCCCAACTGCAGAGAAGGTTTCAGCAGACCAGCAGGACAGATGACTGTCCAAGATCCGGTCGCCAGACCACACCAGAGCAGGATCGACACATCAGACTGGTCCATCTGAGAGATCGTTTCAGATCTGCCACCCGTACTGCTGCTGAAACTGCCGGCAGATACAATGCCCGCATCAGTGACAGGACAGTAAAGATCCATGCTGCTGGCCTTACAGCAAGGCGACCTGTCAGAAGCCCTCTGCTCACACCTCCTAGGCGTTGCACCCAACTGGCTTGGGCCAGACAGAGGCTGCGATGGACTCATCAGCAGTGGCATCAGGTCCTCTTCACAGATGGTTACTCTTCTGCCTGTTCCTGGCAGATGGGAGGGCTAGAGTGTGGAGGAGGGGGTGTTGTGTTTCTTTTTTCCATCAGTGTATATGGCCAGTTAATGATGAACAGCCAAAGGTGAGACTAACAATATATCAGATACCCCCACAGTGAGTGAGTGTTTTTCTTGCTTGTTTACATCCCGTCATTTTCTACTTCTTCCAATTCAGGGCTCTGCAAGCAACAGGAGCAAGGCAGGGTACGCCCTGGACAGATCACCAGTCCATTGCAGAGCAGGCACACAGAAAGAACATGCACACACTCACAGCCAGGGCTAATTGGAATAAACATATAAACTTATAACCCAGGTCCAGGGCCCCAGCATTGTGAGGCAGCAATGCTAACTATGTTTAAGCCCAACTGAACATATTTCTGCTAACAATGCTAACAATGTAATGCTAACAATGTAACTTTGAGATTAATAATTAAAGTGTTCATCACCTTTACAAATCTTAAACACAGTATAACAGAATTTAATTATTTAATTAGCCTGTGATTAATAACTCTGCTGTAGCAAAACCCAGAAGACACAGTGATCTACCAACACCAAGAGGGAGAACCCCCGAACCAGATATTGCTGCTGAGACCATCAGACCTGGACCTCTGTATCAATCTTTGCAAGGTGTTGTGACTTGTGGTCCTGGAGATACAAGTGTGTCATTAATGAACTCTGTTTGCATGTAACATCGTAAAATCCTGTCATGTTACGGATTGCTGACTCTGAACACACAAAAGGGAGCAAATAAATGCACAAGAGAGTCCAGCTTCCAACACACTGATTATTTAATTAATCAAATATTTGATCAATGTATAAAATTCAAAAGCTTTTTCTAAAAACAATCATAAATACGTATTTATGCAATTCTTTACCTCAGTAAAGAAAGTAACATTTGATGGTTTAACTATATAATTAATCATTGCGATTCAAGTTCAGGCAGGACAGCTAATCATGCCTCACAACACTGGGGTCCTAGGTTCAATTCTGGACCTGGGGTGCTATCTGCATAGAGTTTGTATGTTCTCCTTATGTTGTATGGGTTTCCTTCCACAGCACATAAACATACTGTAAAAGGTTAATTAGCTTCTGGGAAGAGAACTTTGGTTGCCACATTTAGAACCCTGGAGCTGGGGTTCTGGGTTCAGTTCCTGGGGTACTATCCATGTGCAGTTTGAATGTTCTCCCTGTATTGTACTAGAGTTTCTCCAGGTGTTCTGGCTTCCTCCTGCAGTCCAAAGACATACTAGTAGGTTAAGTAGCTCCTGGGAAAATTGGCCCTGGGGTGAGTGTGTGCATGTCTGTCTCTGTGTGCACTGCGATGGACTGGTGTCCCATCCAGGCTGTATCAAGTCTTGCCCATTGCTTGCTGTGATGGATTCCGTCTGCCCACAACCCTATATCAGATAAAGCTGAAACAATGCATGGATGGATCATCATGTCCACTTCCTGTTCAGGTAATTTTAGCATTAAAGGCTGAGGCTGGATCCTAAGTAAGGGACTGGTGTCTTATAATTGCTGAAATACTGATTTCCTATTTGTGGTATCCATCAGGCTGAACGTAGTCTCTCATTATGAGAAGTATAAAAAAGTGCTGTGTGCTGCTCAGTGTTCCCTGATTAGAGAGCTGCATAGTTAGCTTTTATAACTTTGGACCTGATTTTTTTCAAATGTGAAGAGATTGTAACCTCCCTTTATTCAAATATGCATAACCCAAATGTATTACATCATAGTCCACACTGATTGAAATATAATACTGAGTGAAATGGACTGGCAGGAGGGAAACTGAACTGAACAGGACTGGAAGGTGAACAGAGTGAGACCAAACAGAACCAAGACAAAACTGGCACACGGACCTCACCACTACAATTTATTACAATTATATTCATTGTCAGCATAGGAAACTATAACAGAGAGAAAGCCTGCTCCTTATACGGGCATAAAAGGCAGGCAAGTTTTACTGATCCCACAGTATATGAGCAAAATAACAACTGCAGCTAGATACTAGAGAGTGCTTTTGTCAGGGCAGACAACCATACATTTCTCCGGTCTGTCTTGTTTCCTTCCCCCAGATCAAAGCCTTTAAATGTAGTGTGGGCAGATAACATCTAACGAAAATTGAAGAACACATTGTTTACTCAAACATAACTAAACTATTTCCCCTAAAACACTCTTTCCTAAAATTAATCTAAACCTTGAATTCCCACACCTGCAGGAGTCAGAACATCTTCCAATCCTGCTGGGGGATGAAACTAAAATAAAGACGCAGCCTTGTATGTGATCTTCTGTCACAGCCTTGGGGAACAGACTTGAGTCTGACTCAATGTTTTATGTGAATTATGGAAATTTCAAATAATGTTTGTACTGTGTCAATGTTATGTTAATTGTACCTGCTATGAGCACGCTATAATTCACCTGTCATGCCATTAAACCTCTACACAAGAATAAATGGCTCAGTTTTTCATTGTATGCTTTGTGTTGCAGCTGATAGTGGGTCCTAGATTGACAGGTCTTTGGTATAGAAGCCTTCTGTATCATGGGGGAACAGAGGACAATCGTAGCAGTTTGCAATTGAAAGGCAACCTTATGATTTGACTTATGTAAATATAAGGAGTGAACATCACTGGTGGATGGAAATCCTGAGGACAATGCAACTCTTGATGAGGGCTGGAGTTCTCCTTGTTCTTTTTCTAATAAATTTAGAATCACCTTTTATTTTTTATTCTAACATGAGTTGGAATAGTTGACTACAGAAGACTTATCTTGGTATAAATGTTTATTCATGGTTGCTGTTAGAACATTTTTCCTCTCCTTCTCCATGTGAAGTCCAGTGTTTGTGGTGTTCTAGCAATGCTACACAGTGCAAGAATCACATCATTTCATAGAAAAAAATATTTTTTTCCTTAGATTGTATTTTTAAGGAACAACCTGTACAATAACTTTTTAATGAAGTAAACATAAAATGTCAGCAACGCATAATGATAGTCAAAATTTTACTTATTAATCACAAACAGTGGTATTTCAGACAACACAAGCAAACTACTTGTTACTTGTTTTCAAATGCAATGTTTATTTGCAATGTCCTTCAATAACTAAGCAGTGCATATAGAAACTTTTTTTTAACAATTTCATTATAACTAGTAATTCAGATGAATAAATAGCTATTTGTAGATGACGTTTTGGCATTTATAAATCATAATATAAGAAAAAAATATTACAAAGGGACTTATAGAATAATTATAGATTACAAAGGGACTTATAGAATAATTTATCATTGAATCTACCTACAAAACGATTATATACACTTTGATTGATGTCTGCAACTTTGGAATGACTATAATTGCAATAGTTACAGAATAGGCATTTTAATTTTTTTGGTGCTTGTGAAAAGCAAGAAAACAGTAGGCACAAAGTACAGTAAGTTACAAGTGTAACACTCAGACACTGTAAATGCTACTCTTATGTGACCTGTACAACCCCTGCACTAAGAAGTATACTACTTAACTGTATGGTGGCTATATGCCATGGAGTATTACTACATGAGGATCACCAAGGTGAACACATTCACTTTACATTTGAAAATAAATTCCAAGTCTGCAAGGCCAGTGACGTGGTGCACATTACAAACCAAACTGTTAAAATGTGTTTTTTTTTATATTTAACAATATTTTGTACGAGATAAACTGAATATGATATTTAATATTACTGAACTTTGTAACACCATTTTTTAGATCTTAGTTATTGGGGTTTTCACATTTTTTTCCTTAATCAAGTAATTAAAAAGGCATCCTGTAATATTTTATTTTATAAAATCTTAAAATCATTGTTAGAAATTGCCACTAAGCGGGTGTTCACTTTTTCCATCTAAGCCTGTGTCTGTGCTCTCTCCATACGTGCACCTGCTGCCTGTATATGAACCCAGCATGTGCTTTTTCACGAAGGACATACTGGGTGCATTTATATTTTGATGTAGTACAGCAGTACTTTAAGGCTAATAATCACTCAACATAAGTTTAGAAAAAAATATAAAAAATTATGCTTAAAAATTCAAATTTGTACACAGCAATATAACATAAAACACCTGACACTGAAGTGCCTCTGAAAAATAATCAAAGCACTATTCCCAATATGGAGTGAAAGCCATGGAATGACTGTCTGCGCCCCTTGCTTGGATGTCCGATTCCCTGAAGCAAGATGTGCAGGATGTGGAGAAGTGGAGCTCTGGGGCACCAGAGTCCCCCTGGCGCTGTCACGCAGTCTCTTCATCGCAGCGGCCATCAGCCACCAGCAGAGAGTGTTTGTCGGGCTCGTGCATGGCCATGCTGTTGAGGGAGCGCTTGTCTGACCTCAGGGAGCTGATGGAGGTTCGGCTGTAGTTCACGATGCGATCAAAGAGGCTGAGCTTGGGAGAATTGTGCCGCCACTCATCGATGCCAATGTGGACGCTGATGTCAGAGGGGCTGTGTTGCATTCTGCCTCGAAGCCGTGACTCCAGCTTCTCGGCTGTTGGCTTGGTGTAACTTGATAAAGCAAGACATAAAAAACTTTTTTTAATCAGCTGTGCTTACAAGTGCAATTAAAACCGTACTAAAAATACCCAGCCTTCAGTTTAGAATTTAATTGTTTTGACATTTTTTAAAGTTTTGATTACCCTAATATTGTTATTGTTTATGCTACCATCCTGTCCACTCTATAATACGTAAAAATAGTGATAATAGTTTACACAGTGAATAACTTAAATGGCATGCATTACCTCAGAGATTATTTTCATGTATTGTGGTATACTGAAGCACAAGATTTCTTAATTCTTCAAATATGCTTGTGTGATTTGCACAGAAAGTCCTTTTGTAATATACAAAGACTTAGGTATTGCTTGGACACACTAAAGTGAATGTTTAAATTAAGTGCCCTTCTTCTGCTAACAAAATCATGGATACATATTAAATAAATGAACAGCGAGTTTCTCTAGGTGTTTTCAATAATGTGAATAAAATTCAAGTGCTTATAATACTTTACAGGCCCTCATCTCACACAATTACTATTAATTCCACTACCTGGATATTTCCCAAGCTTACCTCATTTAGCTGCTAATACTTTAATGGCCTCGGTAAAGACCAGACCAGTCGTCCATGATAGAACTGAAGCACTACTAGCAGGTAATACTCACCATCTGAGTAAGAGTGAAGACAGCACCACAGACACAGATGAAGCAGCCATAGCAGCTGAGCCCATCCAGGGTTGAAGAACTAGTCCAATGGGGAGGAACACACCTGTGGAGATACTCCATGATATTACTCCGAGATATTACAAACACGCTTTGGAAGGTGGGCTAGGATACAGTAGATTTTTTAATTAAAAAAGTGGGCTTCTTAATGATCCTTGCATCCTTGCATGCCATGAACAAATTAACTGTAAACATTTTGTTGAGGTACTGATAATATTGATGATAAAGTGCTGTTTAAGCAGATATCCTTACTGTGTGTAAAATATGCCTGTCGGTGGATAAATGCCATTTCTTGCAGAACTGAGAATTGCGATAGAGAATAATATACTGTATAGTTTTGATTTTTGTGATGTGATGGTTTATTTATTGGAGTTACATGTAAATGATTCTATATATTGTTGTTACAAAGAAAATGTTCATGAAAAGAAAAATATTGATACAAATATATGAACTACTGCTCCCAGTAGCTGATCTTTAACTCTATTCTTGCAAGGGAAATCTATGTACAAAATAATGTAAATGACGACCAATATAAATGATCCCTGCAAGTATCCTGATATCATTTTATAATACTAATTAATAAAAAAATAAAAATAAAAGAACAGCAGCATCACTCAAAAGACATTCCACATACATGCATACATACCAGCAGCAATGGGAATTCCAACAAGATTATAAATTAAGGCAAAAACAAAATTGATCCGAATCCTTTTGACGGTTTTCTTAGATAAATCAATACTTCCAACCACATCCAGAAGATCATTCTGTGGATGTAAAAGGGTAAATAGTACTGAGAAGGCAGAAGGTTACTACCTTAATATTACATTTTTTTAAAAAAAAAGATGCATTTTCATTATCTGTGGAAAATAAAAAAGGGGAAAGAGACTGCAAATGGTTTTCTTGAATTTTAAATTTTGAATGTAAAACTCTCCCAGTACAGTAGCATCTCAATATCTGTGACTTTAACATTCACTAATTTGCTTATTATTGATTTGTTCTGGACGATGGGGTCTGGTATGGAAGAGCATTGTTGTTGAGAATTGTTGTTTGGCATGATAATCACAGAGGCAGAGGAGAAAGTGCAGGCTGGATTCAGAGGAGAGATTCATGTTTATTTTAGCCCGTTAGTAAGTTTGGGATTACTATTTCTTCTTTTACTTGATCAATGTTATTACAATTAACTTAATTCAATGCATTAATACTTTAATTATCATGTTTGTTTACCATCCATGCCATATACTTTAGTACATTATGCAATGGTGTAGGGTAGAATTAGATTTTTTGCGAATCTGGCTATTTGCAACTATTCGCTGTATTGGAGCCTTACAAATGTCAAGACCTTACAGTATGCAGTTGTTTTAATTTAAAAATGCACTTAGTCCAAGATAAACTCTGTGTAGATCTCCACATGGCAGAAACATTCCACACAAAAGACAATGCACTCATAACAGGTTTTGATACAACAAACTGGGAATATATTTAGGACAAAGAAGAAACTAATGTGCTAATCAAGTCTCATAAACACTTAACAGTGAGGAGTATTACAGAGTATCGGTCCCCTTCGCCCTCACTTCCTTACCCTGATTAGTACAACGTCTGCTGCTTCAATGGCCACATCGGTGCCCGTGCCGATGGCAATGCCCACATCTGCCATGGCCAGAGCAGGGGAGTCATTCACTCCATCCCCAACCATGGCCACTCGCTTGCCCATCTTCTGCAGTTGTTCCACCTTCGCCACCTTGTGAGAGGGGAGCACCTCTGCAAACACCCTCCTGATGCCCACCTGTAACAAGATGAGACCACTTAAAATCTGCCATGCTTGGAACCATGCTCTGCCTTCAATTGCAACAAGGAAGACAATATTTCCTTCTGATTCTTTACAAGTTGAATTTAAAGTCATTATAATACATTTAAAAAAATCTAATTAAATCAAGCTTTTGGTTTAGTCTTTTGTGCACATTTGTGCACACAATGCTACTGTCATTTTGGTTTGTGACCTTTATTCTTGATTTCTAGTGATTTTTACCGCACAATGGCAGACGAGGTATTTGGGAATATGAACATAAATGAAACATTAGCGGCACCTATAAAATTAGTAAAACAAAAAATCCAAATAGTGAAATGACCTACCTGAGCTGCTATGGCCTTTGCAGTTTTACTGTTGTCCCCAGTCATCAAAACCACTTCCAGACCCATTGACATCAAAGAGCAGATGGCCAGCTCTGCTTCAGGCTTCACAGTGTCTGCGATGACTATCATTGCACAAAGCAAGCCTGCACAGGAAAACTAGTTAAACCCCTTGGCTAAAGGTTTTCTCTAACAGACGTCAAAGCATTGATTTGAAACACAGCCGGGACTTACCATCAACTGCCACGAGGACAGCAGTGCGCCCTTTACATTCGTGTTCAATCATGGTTTCATCAACCTCTCTTCTGACTTGGAGACCATTCCTCCTCATCCACTCTCTGTTTCCGATCAGGACTGTGTAGGGCTTGGACTGTCCCATGGCTACATTAAGGAGGATGATGTATAAATACCTGCCTTTTTGCTTGAACATGACATTCTCTGTTTCACTGTTTTTTGCATTATGACTTATGTCCTCAACAGACAAGATTCAATTTAGTGAAATTTAAAGTTCACTTTGAGATTCAATTAAGAGCTAATAAAATTTGGCTTGGGTCTCATACAAACTGTTAGAAAAATACAACTGTTTAATGTTTTCTCAGTGCAGTATCCACTTACATGAAGGCTCAGAGTCCAGATTGAGAGGGTGCTTGACAGTGCTGCTCCTGCCATCAATCTGCACCAGAGGTGCATTCTGGCAATTCTTCTCTTCCTCACCGCTATCCAAGCGGTTCAGCAGCTTCTCCGTATTACTGACCTGGCATCGGATTCCACAGCCAGGCACAGTTTGGAAGTCTGTGCAAGTTCCCAGAGACTCTGTCCCCAACTCCTTCATTCAGAGATAAAACAACATTAAAAAACTGTACACCAACTGAAAACATGTTCGTATTTGTAACAGCTAACAGTTTCTAATAATTCGTGGGTTATTATTTTGAAGTTAATCCTGTTTCCTTGCAAAGTCTTTTTTTTTTTTGTGTTGTAATGACAAAACCATTTTAGTTTCAGATGAAGGCCAGGAAGGTCTTATAAGTTGGAGCCACTCAACCACAAGGCTGGGAATTATAAAACACAATTATATAAAACAAATACAGCCTTGACCAGCAGTTTTCAAGAAACTGTCACAAGCGTTAAATGGACTATTTTTTGTCTCCGAATCTGCTCTATTAATAATGTCAGGTAACTTAGCACTTGAAAATATTTTAAAATACTAAAGGCACAGAGTGATATCATTTGATACCTTTCTCTACTGTCTGCTGGAAGAAGCCTTGATTTATGTTACTTCCGTATTAACAGAATGCAAAATAAATGAGCAGGAAAAGCCAAGAAGGTTCTTGAGACAAATACAACTTTAGTCAGTGAAATTAAGCGTATGTATGCACCGCACCTGTTTGCAGTACTGAGTGATGGCTGCTCCCAGCGGATGCTCACTGTGGTTTTCAGCAGTCCCCACAATGGCCAGTAGCTTGGAACAGGGCATCCGGTTCCCCTCCACCAGAATCTTGGCTTGAACCACCTTCGGAGTGCCATATGTGAGAGTGCCAGTTTTATCGAACACCACGGTGTTGATCTGTGTTGAAGACAGACAATGAGGTTAATGGGTAATTTACCGACAGACTGGCAGCATTCGTAAGCAATAGCTGTATTTTTTTCAGATAAGAAGAGACACCTTCTTTTACGTTTTTTTTTCTCGCCACTAGTTTTAGAAACAAAAATTTCACTTCTGCATGTGTATCCTGTATCACAGACATCGATAACTTCTGTTATGTATAAGTGTGTTCATGCATGGCAGGTTGCTAACCCAAGTGAAGCAACATCAAGATCTCACTAGTAGTGCACTCTGACCCGACAGCTTCAGAGCTTAACCCTTACCCATGAAAAATGTGACGTTTGCATATGCTAACAAATCAGAAGTTTAACCAGGCTGGTCCTGATAACTACTGCTAGGAAAGCCATGTTGCTGCTACAACATGGTGAACATCCCTTTGGAGAAGAATTTCTAAACTGATACCCCAGTATGGTGACAGGGGATACTGTGCTGTCGGAGATGCTCTCCTTTGGTTGAGACCTTAAACTGAAGTCTTGACTACATGGTCACTAAAGATCCCATAACAGCAGGATAACATTGACACCAAAGGAATTAAGTTTTTTTTACTTCTTTTCCATGACCTACTATATAGAATGGTTGTTGACACAGGATTCCTGCCATGTGTCATACAGAGCTATAATTAAGTGATAGATTAAATGGAGTTCATACTATATATGTGATGCACTTTGTGATCCTTCAGGATGAAAAGTACCATACAAATACAAACATCTCTAACTCAACTATTATTATTGTAACTCTTCGCTTCTCTCTCCATCCTGTTTTCCTTAGTGTTTATTATCCTTCTTGAGGCCATTAGAATTTTGGGTTCTGTCATTAGACTCTTGGCTAATTCTATCACAACAGATACTTTAACCTACACATCCTTCCCCATTGATTTAAGGATGACTTCATCGCTACATACCTTATGTGCCATTTCGAGGGGTCCCCCACCCTTGATGAGGATTCCATTCTGTGCCCCAACACCAGTGCCAACCATCACAGCAGTTGGCGTTGCTAAGCCCAGGGAGCAAGGGCAGGCGATGCATAGCACGGTGATGGAGGCCTGGAAGGCGAACCTGATCACCACCTCTGACTGTGAGATGCTCTTGTTGTATCCCTGGGCAAACAACAGTAACAGGTAAAGTTACTGAAAAAGTGAAGCCATCAAGTACTTTATCTAGGTTGGTCAAAAATCATCATCATCATCACAGCCACAAACAGCACAGCAGCCAAGACAAAACCCATACTGTGCAGACATACCGTGTTGCATACATTTAGCTAAAAAACATACTTTTACAGTGTTCAGAAAAAGATTGATTTATTCACAAACTATTCTATTTTCTATTAACTACTCTGTTACCACATGCATTGCCTGGAAAATGCATTCAGTCCCAATCTGTGAATTTTAAAATTATGCACACATAATTTTCAGGCTTTAAATAATATTTTATTCAAAATCTGAATTCAGTCAAAGTGAAGTCTTCGGAGAATAAGAAAATCTACAGCAAAAGCCAATGTAAACAAAGGAGAGAAATGTTGCACATCTTCTCCTATCTCAACCACTGAACTCTGTAACTCTTTTAAAATGGCACTTGACCTCACTGTTGTATCTCTAACCAGTTTCTTCCCTGGCCAATTGCAAGCTTGAATGGGTAGCATGGCCTAGGCAGTGTCTAGGTTTCTTCCACTTCCTAAAGGATCACCTTCGTCATGCACAAAGAGATCTTTGGAGTCTTTGAAATGTTTTTATACACAACTGTGCCTTTACACGACTTTATCTCAAAGTTCTTTTTAATTTGCACCCCCACACGTATGAAATGTTCAGTACTTTTTTTTCCCTCACATAGATCTTAATTTACGTAAAGGTGTGGTAAGAAAACTGTGAATCTTTCAAAGGATGCATGCATGTTCTGTCTAAAGATATAGCTAGTTAGTGCCAAATTTGTCTCATTTTTCCAGTTCATTAACTTCAATTTCTTTGCTACAGTGAGGGAGAACAGCAGCAACCATGCACATTTGAATGGTGGATCCAGAGCCAAAAAGTCACAAATTAAACAAAGGGATGGGGAGACAGGGCTTTTGTGGAAAAGAATACTAGATAATGGATTGAATACCGTGGGCCAGAACTGCTGAGTTGGTACATGACAGAATACAAGCATGTAGTTATCAACTGCCTTTTCTGCCTTTTTTTGTAATTCTGGAAGATTCTGATTTCCGGATAAGCCCATAAAATACTATTATTTTATAAAATAGTATTATAAATATTACTTCCCATGTAATGTAACTTGCACAGTATCTGTCTAAGTTGCATTTTCAGATTATTGGAAAGAGTAAATACAGTAAAAACCATAAGTATTGGGACATTGAATTAAAATCTGTCATTGTTGCTGTGTGCAAATTAAATTTATATTATGGATCAAACATTTAATATAAGGCAAAAACATAGAATTTAACTTTTGTTTCTGGGTATAATTTTGCATACATGTTTAACCATGTTAGAATAATGTAATTTGTTGTGTTTGATCTTTCCATTTCAGGTGAACATAAATGACAATTGGCTGACAGACCTTTCTAATTGCTCATGTGTTCCATGTAACACTACTTGTGGAAACGTAAAAGAGTTGTGAACGTACAGCCTTGGTTCTAGTCTTTTGAGTATATATTTAGGGCCTGCATCTCAAGTTAGAAGACCAACCAAAATGAAGACTGAGCTGACAGCAAAAGAAATCCACTTAACTTAGCAAAATTGGTAACGGAATGTCTTGAATGTCTTGAAAATGAAACTACTGGAAGAGTAAGTAATTGGCAAAAGTAAAAAGACCAGGTTATCCAAGGAAAATGACAGTAGTTGTTGACAGAAACATCATTAGAGCTGTGAACAAAACACCTAAAATAACATCCATAAGAAAGAGATTACAGACAATCACCAGAGTGCAGGTGTGAAAGTATCTCAATTCAATGTGCACTGAAGATGTCAATAGGAGAATTACAAAGGCTATACTGTAAACCTCTCATCAGCACTCAAAACAAAGGCCAGGCTATAATTTGCATGGAAGTGCAAATGAGCCACAACAGTTCTGGAACCAGGTTGTATTGACAGAGGAGATGAAGATAAACCTTTATTAAAGAGAAGGAAAGGCAATAAAGAGAAAGAGAGGAATAACTAATGATCCTCAGTATACCACCTCATCCATGAAGCGTGGTGGAGGTAGCAACATGGCTTGGGCATGAATTTTGAAGTGTACAGAAATGCTTGCCCATGTCAAAACCAATGCCTCCAAATGCATTTGGTGGCAATTCACCTAACAGGTAGACAATGACTCAACACATACACAACACTTAACAAAGAAGTTCATCAGGAAGAAGACACTTTAGAACTGAATTTGAGCAAGCATTTTAGCTGTTGAAGAAGAAATTGAAGTCATAAAATACACTAAGCAACAACAAAGTGGCTCAGTTAAGGCTGGTCAAAACATCTGAAAAGAACATGCCAAATGTCAGTTGATGTCATGTGATGACTTGAAGCAATCATTGCTACAGTAGGTGTAAGGTTTGTATGACCACACACAAACTTTAGACTAGGTTATTTTACTTTAAGTTAATTTGTCCCAGTAGTTATGCTGACCTGAAACACAAAAAAGGTGGGATTGAACAAAAAACATTAATGTTCTAACACGATTAAACATGGAAAGTATTCACCCTTTTTCAGATTATCTGCTACTTATATCAGATTTTCATGTGGTTCCTAGTGTATATAAAGGGAGCCTGAGCGAACAAATAACATAAAAATTTGGTGCTTGTGACATTTATTTCTTTAACAAAGTCAACCAACATCCAACGTCCCTGTTTGAAAGAGGTAAAGCAGTGTTAGATTCAATATCTTTTTTTTTCATGGTGAAAACAGTGTGAAGTACAAGTGAGGCATACACACTGGGATGCTGGGAACATCACAACGCTGGAGCAGTATTCGGAGAGAGTATACTGCAAATATGTGAAATATAAATATAAACTTTCCAAAATTGAAGCCATTTCAGGAATCGGTTTACAGATCTGGCCGAATTAATTTTCTATCCAGCGATTTTTTTCAAAGCTAGTTATGTTTTTATGGACCACAAGGATGCTGTGTATAAGGATGTATGAGATAAAACAGGATGTTATCCCATTTTGTGGAACATTAATACAGTCTTGATGCCTATTACTATAATTCTAGCATTTGATAGCTTCTAAAGGCATTATAACATTGAACCTATTGTGAGGGATGGTACTATAGAAAAGGGTGTCCTAGAGTTCAAAGATCTTTTGGACCACACTAAGATGGGAGAATCGGAGATCTGTGATGTAAAACGCCCAGAAGACAATGCACTCCATACAAGGCACAGGTGTGCCGCCTTCCCCGGGCAATATAAGTTGAATCCTGAATGAGAGATGTGGTAAGTTTGAACTCATCGAGAAAGTTTGACCAATGGATATTTATTGGGTATAAAACTCAAGAGTCTTGTTTAGTTCATGACAGTAAATGTACATCTACTTGTGTACGAGAATGATAAAACCTACATGGTAGGCTATAACATGTCACAGTGAATGTATTTTAACATCTGAAGTTAACTCTAAATTTCTGTAATCCCTGAGCGAACAATCAACCTTCCGTAACAGCAGATTGTTTCAGAAAATATATTTTATTGCATTTGTTGTTTTGTCATGCATGTTAGGGTGTTTTATAAATAAATTGTATACTGTTTATTTAAAAACTGTGGGAGACAGTAAATTACTGTTTGACTGATTCCCAACAGTCATCAAAGTACACTCATTATTTAGTCTTCCAATTTTTAGTTGTTACAGTAAATTAAAATCCTAACACCACTACACTGTGTAGACTAAAAGGTTGTCATATTATGACAGTTGTTACAGAGGCTGATAGAGCACTGTATAATTTATCTAAGATATATATTGATCTTAAAAATCTTTTTGTTTCTAGAAATACTATACTTTGGAAGTACTAAAGCTTTTAGTTTATATTAAGTTTAAATTTGCATCTTGCAAAATGTCTGCTTTTAGGAACATCTTTTTGAACACAATGAATTGAGCTAGTGCAGATTCAAATCACAAAGTTAAGGCTTTACATATACAGTGCCCTCCAGAATCATTGGCACCCCTGGTAAAGATGAGCAAAAAAGGCTATGAAGAAATGTCTTTGTTGTTTATCAGCTTGATCTTACACTGAAAATATGAGAGAAATCTAACCTTTCAGTAAGGTAAAATGATTTTTAAAAAATTCTTAAAAAATAAAACATTTTTCTCAAAAACACGTGTCACAATTATTGGCATCCCTGCATTTAGTACTTTGTGCACCCTCCTTTCGCCAAAATGACTGCACTGAGTCTTCTCTTATAATGCTGGATGAGGTGGGAGAACACATATAAAGGGATCTGAGAACATTCCTCCATACAAAATCTCTCCACATCATTCAGAGTCCTTGGTCCTCGCTTGTGGACTCTCCTCTTTAGCTCACCCCACAGGTTTTCAATGGGTCAGGGGACTGGGATGGCCACTGCAAAAGCTTGATTCTGTGGTCAGTGAACAATTTCTGTGTGGATTTGGAGGTATTCTTTAAATCATTGTCCTGTCGGAAGATCCAAGCACAACAGAGGCAGCCAGATTTTGATCTAAAATCTCCTGGTATTTGAGTGCATGATGCCATGTACCCTAAAAAGATTCCCAAGGCCTTTGGAACAAAAACAGCCCCACAACATCGCAGATCCACCACCATTTTTCACAGTGGGGACGAGGTTCTTTTCTGCATGACCCTGATTCATTTGATACCAAACCTACCTCTGGTGTTTGTTGCCAGAAAGCTCTATTTTTGTCTCATCTGACCATAGAACCCGGTTCCAATCAAAGTTCCAGTGATGTTTAGCGAACTGCAGGTGCTTACGTTTGTGGTTTGACGACAGTAGAGGCTTTCTTCTGGCAAACCTTCCAAATAGTTTGTTGGCATGGAGGTGGCGTCTAACTGTAGTTTTGGAGACTTGGTGACCCCAGGATTTGTTTGAAACTTCTTAATTATTGCTCTAATAATGGAGATGCGTATTTTCAGGTATTAAGCTATTTTATTTTATA